CCAGCCTGGTTTTCATTAAATGTAATGGACCATCACTAGGACAGTTCAATCCGGAACAGTATGTGAGGTCCTGGCTGGCAAAGGGAAGGAGAAGTGCTGATGAAAGAGCCTGTCCAGCTCCAGCCCCTGATACTGATGTCCCCAAGGCCTTCTGGAGCCTTTTCTAACAATGTGAAGTATATTGCAAAGCAGCTCACCCAGTGAGAAGACTTTTGGCATAATGTGCCGATTTGTACAGATCCTGGAGATAGAAGGACTTCAGACCAACCATGGAGTTATCTGATCAGCTTGGTGTTCAATGTAACTCTTTACCATGGCTCAGACTTTGTTACTTGCAGTTACAGTTTCTCATTTTAGATTGTGCAAATTTTGCATTTGTTTTTACATGTTCTTTGTTCATGCTCTTTATCATTTTTCTGAGTTGGAAAGTTAGATTGCATCATAGTTTACTTTATACATATTTGTATTCTTCAGTGGTGAAGTATATTGCAAAGCAGCTCAGCCATGTGAGAAGACTTTTGGCACTTTTTCGTTTTTCGTTTTCTGAGTTGGAAAGTTAGATTGCATTCAAAATGTACAGAAATACTTAATTTTGTTAAAGCTTTTTATAAAAAATGCTTCTGACCAGAGCTTTGTTTCCTTGTCATTAATGTTGAACACCACCAGAGGGGCTCTCACCTGAAAGGTCTCTGCTTCATGTGTCTTCAGCAGAAGATCTAGACTTTGATTGCTATATTTTCAGTTAATATTGACCTTACTGAGCTTTAGCCATATCCGCTGCCTATCATAAAAAATGTTAAGTACAGTGAACCTTTCTAAAATATACAGTAGTAAAGAGACAAACCCACCAGCATTATAGTAGCCAAATTCTTGTTTGTGGGCTGTATATATAAAATTGACTTGAAAAAGTTGCTGATTTTAGAGTACTGGCACCTTTTTCATTCCAATTCAAGCACTGCTCTAAACCAGGGCTCTCCAACACGTTGACGTTGGGAGCTTTTCAGTAGCTCGCCGCTCGATTATCGATTATAGCGTAGTAAGGTTGCTTCTTGATTTTTCGGCCGCGGCTGGAAAATAACGTTTTTTTATTTTAGAATATTTTCTGTCACACGAATATCAAATTGGTCGGTGACGCAGTGATCAAGGAACAGACGTGACAGTGGCACAGCGACACCACACACGGACCAGTCTGCTTTCTCCAGGAACACCAGTCCAGAACCAACAGCAGAAGGACCCGCTCTGAATCAGTCCGTGTCGCTGCGGCTCAGAGACACACAGGGAGGGATTTGTGTTTTTGAAAAACACTCGTTATCGTCATGTCAGGTTTTTGATGGATTTAATCAAGTCTTGGATTGCAGAGTATGAATGTCCTCTTGCTATTTTCAGTTGATAAATACTTGTGTAAAGTTTGTGAAGGCAGGAGGAAAGATTCCGCGATCACCGTCTCCTCTCCGTTCCTCCAAACCCCGCCCTGAAAATAATGAGTGACAGGCTGATAGTGACTCGATAGAAACTTTATTATTCACTTAAACACTGATTGAGATATAATGAAGCTAATTTAATCTCATACATTCATGGGATTTATGCAACAGTAAAACAGAGAATAAGTGTGCACCCACATGCAGTATTTTAGTTGTTATATGCTGTTGTAAATACTCCTGTTGTCTGCTGTGTTCAGACTTAAGTCCTGTGTGTGATGCCACATTCAGGACCTTCAGTGTCCTTTTTTTAACAGAAGACCGTTGCTAGAAGCTGCAGCTAGACTGCAGAAGCATTAGTTTTTTGTTTTTGAGAATGGAACAACTTCACACACAGATATAGGGAGGCTAGCCCTAAGTGGGTACACTCCAGCATACACCTCTATGGTGGACTCCATGCAGTGCCATTCATCTCACTGACTGTGAAAAAGAGTGAATGCACTTATTTGACCATAAGTGCACGATGCTTGTAAGGTGGTGATTAAGGACATTTATGTGAATTCTCACTATGTGGGCCATAATAATATGTGAGACGTTTTCGTTTTCTTGGACCTTGATGTAAAGTTAAGATTTGTGATAAGCTTTAGGTATTGCAATTCCGTACGTGTACAAAAGTATAGCTTAATTCAACTGATGAGTGCTATGTGAATAAATGGAAGTGATGCGATGCAAGTAGCTCTTGGCCACTTTGATTTTTTCAAAGTAGCTCTCAGATGAAGAAAGGTTGGAGACCCCTGATCTAAATCATCTCAGATTAAAATGATATTTCATCTGCTGCTTTAACAATACACAGCAATGTAAAATATGCAGTTGTAACATTCAATACCTGTGCTTTACTGTTATATGCTCCGCCTGAACAATATTAATGACCACTCAAGCTATTAATTATGAAACATTTACAGTTATGAGGAGTAGCCCTATAACCTCCAGCAGGTAATCATGTAATCATCGATACCTCAAGAGTGCAGAAGGATGAGTTAGAATTGAATGCAAATGTAACACATCCAGTGGCTTGAGGCTCAACGTTTGAATAGAACAGGCTAAAAAACAAGCTGCTGACAATTTGGCCTTGGTGCATTATGAAAAATATGGTAGCAAAAACACATTCCTCAAGGTCTGGGCAAGATGTGATGGGAGGGCAGATACACCACGGGGCTCAGTGGCAGAATATCATCTGCCACATACATGAAACTGTAATCTGATTCACCCTGGAGGCCTCCTTAGCTAGGTTTAATTCAACCTCCAACCTTGCAGGGAAACAGAGGGCAAGAGAGGTCTGACGCCATCATTGTTCACCATAGCAGCTCAGCCAAACAGGAGACAATAATGCTCCAAAGATCTTTTTAAATAAAGAAATAGGAGATGACAGAGATATGAAAGAGGCTTGGTTTGTGTCTGAAAAGCTACATTACAGACACAACTGCTCGGTTATAATAGAACAGACGCTATTATGTGTTTAGTCAATAGGATGGCCGACACGAGGTTTTATTGTGTCAATTACAGAGACTCCAACAAATCTAATAGAAACAAACATAAACCCACACCAATAGTAGAGTGTGCAGGCCTGGTAATGTCACTCATACGTGTGATTCTATGGAATGCCATTTAAGCCAATATTAAATAAATAAATATATACATAAATAATTAAATAAATACATATATATATAAATATGCCTATGAAATAAATTATAAAATAAATAAATTAGGCAATAAATATGTATACATGTACATTTAAATACACATTTATTTATTTCATGGGACTTTTATTTCATAATGACACATTTATTTATTTCAAGAGACTTGTATTTCATAATGACACATTTATTTATTTCAAGAGACTTGTATTTCATAATGACATATTTATTTATTTCAAGAGACTTGTATTTCATAATGACATATTTATTTATTTCAAGAGACTCGTATTTCATAATGACATGTATTTATTTAAAGAGACTCGTATTTCATAATGACATATTTATTTATTTCAGATGACTTGTATTTCATAATGACGCGTTTCTTTATTTCAAGAGACTCGTATTTCATAATGGCTTATTTCATGTGACTTGTATTTCATGATGAGACATTTCCATTCCTTATATGCAAATGAACGGGGCGTGGTTAGCTCACAGGTCCAGAGACCCAGACCAAAGCAACAGCACCACACTGACTACTCGAGAAGAGGAAGAAAATGGAGGAGAAGGACTATAAGGCAAACTACTAAATTCTCAGAGTCAGACATCGCATGTAATCTGATACTCTAAATTTCACCCGCCAGAAATGTTCGCTTCTTCTTCTTCGGTGTAAATTGTCCGTTGGCAAACCAGTTGACTTCTTCTTCTGTCGGTTTTTTGGCGGATTGCAAACAACTTTAAGGTGCATACCGCCACCTACTGTACATGAGTGTGAATCATCATATCATTCCATCTCTTAACTCATGGACGTATCTATGATCTAATCCAAAAATAAATAAATTAGGGCTGTCAAACGATTACAATTTTTAATCAGATTAATCACAGTTTAAAAATTAATTAATCATGATTAATCACCATTCGAACTATGTCCAAAATATGTCATTTCTTTATGTATATTGTTGTGGGAATGGAAAGATACATGAAAGAAGGCGGATATATCCATTTAACATGTTTATTGTAAACAATTTCTGTGTGTCAAAATGAAAGAGAGCACCTATCAATCATCAAACCGTGGGGTCTTAATTCATTACGTATTGATTTATATTTTACTTAGAAACTTCAGGAAAGTCGACGGGGGGGGGCGCGCTAGTGGAGTGGAGTACTTCGTGACCAGAGTGTGAACGTTGTGATCAGCTGTTTTAGCGCAGTTCTCCAGTGAAGGGGAGGAGTCTCCCTCCGCAGCCGGTTGGCGTAGTTTTGGCACAATTCCGTTGTACAGACCGACGTTAACAGCAGCCCTGTCTGTGCACACGGAGACCGACTCTGTCGTCCGGTGATCTAACCGCCTTCTGGAAAAGCTTCACTAGTACGTCGGTACGCAAATGCGCTTTGTGACACAAGTGACGGTACGCATTTCAGATTACGCACATAACCTGCGTACCAGTTATGTGCACCCCTGTACTACAGCTAAAGTATTCTCCGTCGGGACTTCCTGCAACAACACCACGCCGTTATCTTGATTCTGATTGGCCAGAAGACATTATCAAAGATGTTCTATTTGGAAGATGATCACTACGTGACAAAAGTTTTCAAAACCGTTTCTGGTCTTCCGTATTTCCAGACAAGTGGCTACTGAAATCAATCTTACTAGCTGCTGTCTGTGCAATTTACTCAGCGCCAGTTGGCGGACTTTATTTTGCTACTTTAACATCATTTTTCATGGTGGGGCTAAGCCATTTCTTGGTATGGGTGTAGCCTACCCCAGCCATACCCTGTCTTTATAAATATTTGTCTGCTGGCATACCAACAGACCAGCATGTATCTATCACCAACTTATGTTAGTATTAAATATACAATGTATTGTGGTAACTATCAAAATAAAGACATTGTATAGTGTTCATAACAGTATTTTTATTTCATAAATTATACTTGATACAATAATATTACAAAAAAAAACCTACATCTAAATAAATATATCATCTAAAAAAGATGCATTTGATTTAAAAATAACAAATATAATTCAAAATGTAAACAGCAACAAAGAAATTATAAACATTTTTTTTCTTTTTCTTGTTAATATCCATTATCTTCTCTGTTATGTATCTTCCGGTCTTTGCCAATCTGGCCAGCATTTCTTGGTCCTCCACGTCTTTCTCATGCAGCCACTGCTTGAAGCAAACTGAAAATAAGAAACAACAATGTTTTAACAAATCTTATTCAATTATGTGATGATAGAACTGCAAACAGAATAGCTGTAACTTTAACAAAATGCAATGTAATGTAAAATAAATAACTCAGTTACCTCTAATCATTACCCCATGTTTGTATCATTGAGTTAACTCTGTGTGTTGCTGCTAGCATACATAATATATGGATGGGGCTACAGAGCTACTAGAAAGACAGTCGAACCCGGTGCATTCCTCCGTCTGAATGTGGAGCACTTTTGCTAAATGTTTAGACAAATAGCTTGTGTTACCGCCCTTACATGCTAAATTCTTATTGCAATATTGGCAACGAGCATTTTCCACCTCAAGACCAAGCCCCCAGGAAGTGTACTACAATTTCCTTATCAGTCTGTGACGTCGACCGGCCCAGAAATACTTTTTCCCATTGACTAACATTGGGAAAGAGACGTCTGTAACTCGGTGGATAATTTTTTTGAAACTAAATAAACTACCCAGTATGAACTATTGTATAGCCCTAGAATCATTAAGTTCTTAAAGTTGTAAAATGCACTAAAAGCCGAATCTAGATTTATTCTCTCTCTCCATTCTTTCTAGTGAGCCGAGAGTGTGTGCTCGGGGGGCGGGGCTTAAGGGGCGCATGCTCTGTGAGCGCACAAACGGGTTATTCTGCTCTGACAGCCAGGCGTGACGGGTAATCTGTGACGTTTCGCTCTCTCAAAAGTTGGGCCATTTTGACTTCATGCGCCAATGAGCAGCTCTCATAGGAAAGAACGAAGCCCCTCCTCCGACGCTGTATCCAGTTCTTATTATACATCCATGCTCAAGACGGGTAACATAACTACCCTCGGGGCGCTTAGTTCTCTCCGCCATGTGTTTGTGTGCGCACGTGTGTGTGTGTGTGTGTGTGTTGCATGCATGCATGTAGCAGGTTCTGTGTGTAAACTGCCCCACCCCCTCGCACACAGACAGGGGAGAGAGATCTCGTCTGGATTGGAAAGATCGAAAATAAATCATAGACTCACTTTGTAGTCTTATTGCATATTAGAAACGGAGTTGCAGTAAGACTGCGATATAATGTTTATGTAGATATAATACATATGACATCTATTTTTTAAATGTCTCCCGTAACGATAAAAAGATTGATAACATTGGACGTTAACGGTACCACGGTCTTTAATAATTCAGCCCCGGGGCCCGTTAATACTGGGGCTCGGTACCCATCCCTAGTTTTAATTATTACATCATCAATATTACATTTCAAATAACCAAGTACTTGGTTACCAACACAAAGCGCAAGTGGCTAGTGCTGCTAAGAACATACCTGGTGATGGTGATGATGGTGGCTCTTCGCTGCAGGATCTGGTCGATGTCCTCCTAGCAGAAGCGATTGCCTTCGTCGTTCTCGTCCATGATGGCGGCGAAGGCTCCTTTCCTCAGCAGGTCCTCGATCTCCTTCTTGGAGAACTGCTGGACCGGCTAAAGGCGACGCAGAGAGACATTTACACAAGTGGATTTAGAAAACTCTTTTTGAAAATAAACTAAGCGTACTGCAACAGCGACTGACCCAAAAATGACTTGGCATCTAGAAATATGACAGATTTTCTTTTTCTCACCCCGTTGTTGTTGCCACTCATGCTCTGCAGGACGGGACGGTCCAGCCCGAGCTTCAGACTAGCTTTATCCAGCATTTCCCTCTCATAGTTTCTAGTGATCAGACGGTACACCTCCCCCGCCTTAGACTGGCCAAAACGATGACACCGAGCTTGAGCCTGAAATAAAAAATGAAAAGAGGGGTCAAAAGAGCATCATGTGCAGCTGCTGTTCAACGTTTTTAAGCATTAAATGGGAAAATAATATACACTTAAAGAACCGAGGGAATAAACGGAAAGACTGTTGTTGTTGTAGCCCTATTGAACTATCTTTAGGACAGACAGAGCAGATATATATATATATTGTACCTGCAGGTCATTTTGAGGGTTCCAGTCAGAGTGGAATATCACACAGGTGTCTGCAGCAGTGCTCTTGATCAGGTGTTTGATGTGGGCTGGCATGATCCTTTCTGCAGCGATGAATAAAGAAAACAAAGAAGACATTATTAATAATAGTAACAACAATAATATTAGTATAACTATTTATATAGCACTTACACAATAATTGCAAAGTGATTCTCACAACAAAAATAAAGAACAAAACAATAAAAAAACTAATTATTATAGGAATGTTAAAATACAAATAAATGATAAACATTCTGAGAGGCCGACTACCAAAGGTAGACTCCCGGCCACACGAGGACGAAAACGGCTAAAAGCATAGGATTAACGCAAACGCAATCGCAAACAAGCTTCCCTCCACACGCAATAGTTATCCGGATAGTGTCTGTCCACACGAGACCGCTCCGTTTAGCTCCAACCGCTGGAGAAGCTGCAGTACATATGCAGGAGCCTGTACGTGGCGCTGTAACTTCCTCCACAAAAGCAGCGAAGAAGCATGGTTGTCATGGTTGCCCTTCTGTTTATTCTCCGCGGTGGGGGCCGAGGGAACCGGGCAGAGTTTTTCGCCAGTCAACGTGTATTAAAGTTTAAACCTTCCGACAAAATTATAAAAGTGCCGGTCAAAGGTCTTCTTTGTTATTTATTGAGCTTTAAAACAAATGAATAACGACTCTATATAATATAATAATAAAATACACGGAGCCTCTCTTTTTCCTCCCTCTCTTCGGACAGCGTCAGTGTCTGTTTCATGCAGCAGCTGATCCAGTAATGAGTGACCCGGCCGACAGTAAAAATAAACATAAGTATAACTAGTTTAGGTAGTTTGAGAGGTGTCTCCGTCCTGTCAGATTAGACTTCACTCGCGTTTATGTCCATATCGAGAGAAAGATAAATAATCTGAATTCAGTGTGCAGTTTACTTTGACGCGGGGGTGAGCAGCAGAGGTGGAGAGAGGCGGGGCTATTGCGCAATCATTATCAGAAAATGATCGCTGAAGCTGCAGTACATATCCACAAAAGCAGCGAGTAAGATCCCCCCGGATGTGTAAGTCTGCTGTAGATGTTGCACAAAGAACTGTAGCATGGTCAGTAGCGTCCGGAGCACGATAGCAACTCTGCGATCCGCCATTGTTGTTGTTGTTGGTGGCGAAACACATCAGCAATGGCGCGGGGCACGCGGAGGTGAGCAGCAGAGGTGGGGAGAGGCGGGGCTATTGCGCAATCATTATCAGAAAATGATCGTATAGGGCGCACACACGGAGCTGTTTGACCCCCCAGAGCGTTGCGTATGCCGTTCTATCCACCTTGGGACCCGTTATCGTTTCCTCAGTCGTTTAGTGCCGTATGCGGTCGTCCTCGTGTGGCCGAATGGTCTATATGACACTAAACAGTAACGCAAACGGCCGTTTTTGTCCTCGTGTGGCTGCAGCCTCAATGGCTCTTGATGGCATCAATGAGCAGTCCCAAAACATGCTGCTGTATAAAAAGAAATAGGTCCAGATTTCTTCTATTTAGTGTTGGATGATTTGTTGTATTGATTGCTGATGGATGTTAAGATATGTTTTACAATTATAACAAAAAGATTATTGTATTTGGAATCAAAAAGTTTACAAATCGTAGTTTTAATAAAATGACTAGCAATATAGGATTTATTCAACAGCGGTAAAGTATTAAGTTACTAAATGAACGTACACTGAACTGTAAAACTTACCACTATTTAGGAAAGGACCTGATCAGAAGGATTGACTAGTAAGACAGCAAAGAGGCGGAGGAGGTCTCTGTCATGTACAACCATTGGTAGATGTTACAATGTTACACCTGAAAGAAAGATAAGGAAATAAGACAACACAGGAGGACAAACATCTTCTTAAGTAAAAGACCAAATCATGTCAAGCTTTAACCTGAGGCTGTTTTTTCAGTCTTTACAATGCACAGTTGGAAATTACATTCCAAAGGCTAAATTCAAACTCAACACCATAAATAACTGGGTACCAAAGTGCTTTACCTGATAGGACACGTTCCACACGGAGCAGCAACCATCCGGCTGGGCCGTATGCTGCATATCATCTCCTCCCTCTCCACTGTTTCCAGTAGATCTCTACTGCCTGTCGAATAAAACTGAAATGACCCAAAACAATCATATTTCAAAAGTTAAAAACAATAACTTGCTTTTGGCATTCAAATGTATTATAATCTCACCTTTTTCCTGGATGTCAGGAAGGCGTTCCCTTCAAGTCCGCAACCAGTCATAGGAGTTCAAATGCAAAGCCTGAACGATGACAAGAGCGAGAGACTTACATGTTACAAGATAAGTAATACCAGAGCAGTGTTTAGGACATGCAGAGAACAGATCAAATCCCCTGACAGGCTCACACACTTTGGTGATGTCCTCATCTGATAATGATGTTTCATTTTTAGCAGCAAAGTAACATTACTCAAGGTATATGTTGGACCCAACTCATGTACAGTATGTTTTGCATCTCCTCAACAATGGTCTGTATAGTTGAGTAGAAACAAACTGTCCCTACAGTTTCAGGTAGATTAACAAAGAAAAGTTTGCAATGAAGCACAAAACCCCTCTTTGTATTAAGCTAGCTGACACAAAAAGTACAGCTTAACATGCTAACCTGGTGGAGTTAGCTAACGTTAGCTAACTTCATGTCCAACACAAAACCTCTAACGTGCATTACATTGACGATTTTAAACACAACTTAACTCTCTCAACTTGTAAAATAACGTTAATTTAACATACCCTTAAATAACTACATCACGTTTTTCAGGGGCAACACAAACTGCAGAAAACGTTAGCTGCTAACTGTTGTTAGCTAAGACAGCTAGCTCGTAACGATAGCCTCCTAGCAAACGTAAGGTTACGTTAACATTAACTTAACGTTGTAAGAAAGCAAAACGAACCTTCGAGACATATTTTACTCTCATACTGGGTGTAATTGTGTAGCGTTGCTTACCTCCAGAAGGACTTTTAGCTGTTTCCCAGTAGAGACTAGAGAGAGCTGTCAGAGCGGTTGCTCTCAGAAGAGCAGCATTGGGCGGACCAGAGAAGACCAGATAAGACCAGATAAGAACCAGTTAAGTCTTGGAGCCCACCGACGTCTTCCATGTTGTTATTTTCATTTAGTAGTTTGCCTTATAGTCCTTCTCCTCCATTTTCTTCCTCTTCTCGAGTAGTCAGTGTGGTGCTGTTGCTTTGGTCTGGGTCTCTGGACCTGTGAGCTAACCACGCCCCGTTCATTTGCATATAAGGAATGGAAATGTCTCATCATGAAATACAAGTCACATGAAATAAGCCATTATGAAATACGAGTCTCTTGAAATAAAGAAACGCGTCATTATGAAATACAAGTCATCTGAAATAAATAAATATGTCATTATGAAATACGAGTCTCTTGAAATAAATAAATGTGTCATTATGAAATACAAGTCTCTTGAAATAAATAAATGTGTCATTATGAAATACAAGTCTCTTGAAATAAATAAATGTGTCATTATGAAATACAAGTCTCTTGAAATAAATACATGTGTCATTATGAAATAAAAGTCCAATGAAATAAATAAATGTGTATTTAAATGTACATGTATACATATTTATTGCCTAATTTATTTATTTTATAATTTATTTCATGGGCATATTTATATATATATGTATTTATTTAATTATTTATGTATATATTTATTTATTTAATATTGGCTTAAATGGCATTCCATATGATACAGCCAGTGCTGTTGCATAAAGTTAAAGGATTGTGTGCATATTATTTATTTTATTAGTTTACATTTGATCTATAACAGAAGAGACCACAATACACCAATAATAAATGTTCCTACTAGCGAGCATTGCATTGTGCACAGCCAAAGCCTTATAAGCCTTTCAAGTGATGAAGTAAATGAAGGTAATGAATTACATGCTTGGCGATGAATTAATAAATCACAGACATTACTTGAAAAAGCCTCTAATTGAAGATATATGAACTCAAAAACAGCATTAAATGGGAATATCAAAAGGGGTCGTGAAATACATTTGATGGAAATCAATTTATTTTGATGCATGTACTGTACTTCCACACGCAGCTACTTATTGCTGCATCATCAATTGACATTAACATTAAGTCATATTACTATATCAATTTGATAGAAAATGCCCATAATGGGCGGCCTGTTGTTCCTCCCTTCAGGTGCTGGTCCTCTACCAGGGTTCTACTCAGTATCTGTTCCTAGCACTGTGCTCGTCTGGACAGAGATCTCTGAGGTCGTTTCTGAGATTTGCTGGGGTCACTCTCCCAGTTTGGAGGTTACAGCCTCCCATGTTTTATGAATTTGCTGTTACCCGTCTACATTCCTCTCCAATAAATCCCATCTCAGCACCAGCTGTGGGTTTGACCTGTTAGAATGGGCATGCATGTAAGTGTTTTTTTGCTATTCTTTAATTGTCTGGTACAGGTTAACCACCAATAACATGTTTGGTGGTCAAATTCTTCTCCTGTCCAAGTGTTGCATTGTCCTTGGGCAAATTACTGAACCCCAAATGGATTAAGGTGGCTGTATGGTAGCTCATGGCCTTCACTGTGAGAGAGTATGTATGAATAAGAAGCCAATTGTAAGGCAACATCGATAAAAGCACCTTATAAATGCAGACATTTACCATTTGTGAGACAAAAATGAAATGAAATGTGTGTTCTGAAGCTAAACCAGTATTCATGGGCAGAGAATCTGATGTTTAACTTTTCTTAATGGGAAACAAATGAAACCATCAACCAGGTGAAGCTAATGCAGTGTGAAGTACATGCATGTTTCTAAAGTAACCACCTTCAAAATGCTGCATTTTATTATGAATCAGCTAAGTTGTTTAATTATTTGGAGTAACACAGTGGTTTCTGTTGTAAGAGCAGATATTATGATCCTGCTGTCTGTGCTTTGTCTAGGCTAAAGCTCAGATGGATCTGCTTCATCCTCTCTAAGATTGTAAACCAAAAAAGACAATATAATAATTATGGGTTTGCCCTCAGATAATAATTATTTAGCCTTGCTTCAAGAGTTGGGCACTGCACCAACTAAAACATCTTATAATTCTAAAAAAGGCCAAAGATTAAAAATGTTTGAAAATAATGAAGTTGTGCACAGTCTTCGATCTGATACATCATATTGCCAGCAAAACTGTGCTTTAAACCTCTGCAGTGGTGTTGCATATGCATACGGTTGAGCAGACATATCGACTCATATCCATTTTGTTATTTGGTCTGGAGAATTTCACCTAATTTCACACATATCCACGGCAGAGCGCTGGGAGTTTGAGCTCTCAGTTGACATCTCACTAACATGCGTGACGGAGGCAGAATAACTACCATAGTCTGATATAGAAGTCGTTCATGCTCACAATTGTCAATTTTGCCGGGTCGGAGATAGCCAGATGGATCCAAGATACAGCTGTCCATCATCCTGAACAATCACATTTCCTTATCGTTCATCAATCTGAATTACTACGGACAGTGTCTGATAACATGCAGCAAATCCCAGCCTCAGGGCCCAGGCTTCGATTTGTGCCACAGTTTATTATTCCCACAATCACTGGGAGAAAGTGACGGCAGGAAATGTTCTGCAGGGAGATCCACTGACTGCAGGACAGCATGATCCATCATGGGAAAGTTGAAAGTGCCCATCTTGTTGTATCTTAAACTTTATACCCGCTCCAGCATGCAGATATATCCCTCTGCCATCTGCATACTGCAGAGACTGAACATTAATCAGGGGGGGCTGATATACCTAGATGTCTCACCTAAAAAGAGGCAAATGCACATTTAGAGGTGAAAACGAAAAACATTCTATGACCATATGCCAGAAGTGTGAGTAATTAATTTGAAATTAGCAGGAGAGGGAGCGGGTTGGGGGCATGCAGATTGTCTGTGCACCGGTTAGACATTGGCAGCCTCCGCTCAGTTGGAAGGTTCCTTGTGTGATTAATCTGTTTTCCTGTGTTTCAAGTCCAATGTTCACCAGATGCTTGTATCATAAAGAAACAGCGGCTGCTGCCAATCAGGAGCCTAACACTTCAGTAATTCTCTGCTCGCCATCTGAAGACACAAACAAAACACATCATTCCTCTGCCCCTCAATTTGACAAGTCACATGTCTTTAAAGTGGGAAATAGGAGGTCCATGACAAGGTTTCATAATGATTTTAACAGAGATAATGGTACATCTAATACTTCAAAGCTTAACAAAATATTAGAGAAACCATTTTATTCATTCCCAAAGGGATATTTGATGATTTGTATCCAGTTAATCTTTTCATCATATTTTAGGATTATTGGACATGATCAAACAGTGTCTTCCTTTCAAAAAGAAATTGCAGTGTGTTGGATCTTAAGAAAATCAAGACATTTAGCATGTGATTTCTATGTTGACTGCTGACAGGAGATTAGAGATACACATTGTACTATATGGAAAAAAGCATATTTGTCTCTATACTGTGTACATCAAGCAGCTGCAGTACATTGGTGTTTTGGTGTAACAAGGAAAGATGGGAAGTAACAAGATATATCAGACGTGCACATGCAGACACACACACCAGGGGATGAGCAGCAGAGAGCTAATAACCCATCAAAAGAATAACTGTGGCTGCCAAAGCATATGAGTTCAAGCAGAGCCGACGAACAGGAGAAGACCGCAGTGTGCTCCGGCTCCCGACCAGACGTCCCGACGCTTCACAACATGACCTCCATTTTTCAGACAAATCAATCTATGAGCGACGGGCTAATTGCCAGGAAACTCGCAGCGTGACCCATTAGGCTCCCGTTCCACCCACGCACACAGAGTGACATGACAAGCCGGCAAATAATGCGGAAAAGAATGGTTTGGCGAAAGTAAAATGAAATAAAATACAAAAGCTAGTAGTTTTAATTGGTGGTGCTGCAGTATTGCACAGAGATGTATAGTTACACTCTTCTCTGGCAAACACCACACCCTAATTGAAGTCAGTTTTCAGATGAGTGATGTTTCCAAGTCTCATTATCTGAAGCTTCAAGTTGCATGTGTAGAGTGTTCGGTAGAGTCTGCTCAGGCTGTGTCAAATGACCTTGTGTGAACTAACCACAATTGACATTTGTTGTTCAAAAGCATGTCAGAGCTTGCTTTAATGGTCTGGTGGTTCAGTGGTTTCAGTAAATGTCTCTCCTCTAATAATACTGGACTAGAAGAGTTTGATCTAGTTTAAGATGGAGAAAGCCGGGAGCGCATGCTATTTCCTGGTGTCAATTACCAACAAATCTCAACTCATTTAATAACATCTAATAACAACTAACAAGGTTACTTTTAAAAGCTAAATATGTTCAGTTCTGAGCAGAAAGATCGTCCTCCACACTTGGGGGATCACAAGAAAGAGAAAATCATTTATCACAATATTTTTGACCAAATAACTCGACACCATAGCAACAAAAGGGTTAACCCTTAGTTCTTTCAAAAAAAGATGATCACATTACATAATGAATTGATAAATATAATAAAGTAATTTGGATAAACTAAGTAGGTAAAGGCAAATGAAATCCTTTAAGTAGAAAATGAATACGATACGTGGATCTTAATATCTAAACCAAAACAATATCATGGCTAGTGGAGCCTCACAGCACCCCCCCTTTCCCACGTCCATTCGCGCTGTCTCGCTGTCTCGCAGACCCCACGCAGCAAGCAGGAAATGAACCCAGCTCACACTGTCCGCTCCTCACAGCAGCGAGCCCCCCAACGTCCCCCCAACACGGCACCCAGACCCCACGCAGCATTCTCACCTGTTTGTCATTACTGGTGTCCTTTTCTGGTTGCTAACAAACACCATTGTAAAACATAATCATTGATGTTCCGCTGTAACGGTGGTGGACTCGTCAGAACAGAGTGGGCGAGCTGACCAATCAGAGCACAGTGGGCTCATAGGGAGGGGGGGGGGGCAGGAGCTCCAACAAGCCGTGTAGGACAGAGAGTGAATACACAGACTATACAGAGATGCTGTTTGAGAAACCAATGTGAGTTTGGAACATTGAACAATGTGAATCTATTCTAGTAGACCTCAACAATGGAACTATGATCAGTAGAGATGGCCATGACATGAGACCTTTAAGTAGGTTTTAAACAGGATGTGTAGTTTCAGTGGCTCAGTCAGGAGGGGCTTGGACTGTGAGCTGTAGGGTCGCCGGTTCAAGTCCCCGAACAGACTTAAAGTATGGAGTGTGGACTGCTACTTGGAGAGGTCCCAGTTCACCTCCTGCCCTGCCG